AAATATAATATTTTTAAATTAATTTTTAATTATATTATAATTATAATTAGGTTATTTCTCTATCTCATATTATAATAAATAATCACACATAAAAAAATATTAAAATTCTTTAATATAATTAAATTGAAAGTGGGTATTAAATTAAAAATGAGAACGGGGACGGGTACGGGTACGGGTACGGGCGGGGAAGTACATACCCGTACCCGTACCCGTACCCGATTTAATATATCGGGTTTTACCCATACCCGTACTCGGTCAAACCGGGTATTCCCCGTCAAAGTTGGGACGGGTTCGAGTATTATCCGCGGGTACGGGTATATTTGTCATCCCTAGTATGAATGAGAAAAAAGTGTATGTAAAGAAATCTTACTTAAGAGGACATAAATCTATAATAAATTGTTTATTAAAAGATTAAAACATTGATTTTATTTTTTTATTTATTCAAATCTTGTCATTTTTGTATGTAGATAAATTGTATTATTTTAAAAAAATCATATTATCCTCTAAAATCTAATAAAATTCTTTAAGTCTTATAATTTCTCAAGATAAAAATCCATTAAAATTCATATTACAAAATCTTGATTAGAAAAGTCTTTAAAAAAAATCCTAGAAGGTATTACATTTGTAACGTAGTTAGTAGACTGGAACGGGACGTTTCCAAATTGGAACGGGCCGTTCCAAATTACTAAAACAAGGGTAATTTAATAGCCTAGAACGGGCGTTCCCAAACTAGAACGAGTCGTTCCAAACTACTAAATAGGCCTATAAATCCTAGTTGAGAACGGGCCGTTCCAAACATGATCGTTGTAAGTTAAATGCAACCTTAGAACGGGCCATTCTAGTTTGAGAACGGGTCGTTCTAGATGTGAATTTTACACATGATGTGTGAGTCCAGAACGGGCCATTCTGGATTCAAAACGGGCTGTTCTAGCCACTCCTAACTTCTATAAATAGGCCACATGCATGCAGTTGAGGAGAAAAAAAAGGGAAACTTAGAGAGAGGTTTTAGAGAGAAGTTTTAGAGAGAAGGACTTTGAACCAGGAAGCTTGCTTTTGGAAGATTGAAGTTCTCGGGTTGAGCTTCGGAAGGAAATTCTGCTTCTTCTCAGTTCTTGGCCATTTTGAGCCAATCGTCAGGTGAGGAAAGCTAGAATGTTTATTGTTTTGTTGCATGTGAGTTTAGAAACTCAATTGATGCATGAATGTTGAGAATCCATGGTTGGATTGGAGAATTTGTTCATTTTGGGGTTTTGGGGAAAATTTTGGAGTTTTGATGATTTTGATGTGTTTGATGAATGCATGTTGAATCTGAGTTTGTTTTTGAGTTATAGGAAGCCTATACATTGTTTTTCCTTGTTTGCATGTGGCTGGTTTTCCTGATTTTCAGGTTTGGAGCACATCGGGCGTAAGATGGGTGCTTTGAGCATGGAGACTCTTATGAGTTTCTGTTCCAAGGACGCCAGGTGCGAGCTGAGCGCGTCGGGCGTGAATGAGTTTTAGGACTCTTGAGTTGAGATTAGGCCGGGCGCACTCAGGCTGTGCCGAGCGTGAATATGTTTATTTATGATAGTTGAAATGATGCTTAGGCATGTGTTGAAAGTTGAAGATTTGATCATGTATATATGATATATGATGTGTGGTGATGCCTGATTCATATGTATACTTGGTAATGATGTATGAATGTTTAATCATGATATGACATGTGTATATGTTCCTATGAGGATGATTATCGATCATGATGGTGGGTAGACCATGTATGATATATGGTGCATTATTGCATGTGATGTCTTATGACATGAGTATGATTATTGATCATGATGGTGGGTAGACCATGTATGATATATAGTGCATTATTGCATGTGATGCCTTATGGCAGGAGGCTAGCCTAGGACTTGAGGAGAGGGGAAATGTTTTCGAACTGGAAGAGCTCACATAGAGTCTCTTGAGAGTGGTGCTTGGATACGCCACTGATATATGAGAGTGGTGCTTAGGTAGGCCACTGGTTTTAGGTGAGAGTGGTGCTAAGGTAGGCCACGGGTTTGGGTGAGTCTCCTCTAAGTCCTTAGCTAGTGTTAGATCGGAGTATGAGGTCGAGGGTTATTTTCTTAACTAAGTATTGGGGAAGGTACGTGGATCCTTGCGGATAGTCGGTAGGAGAACTCCACAAGTGACTTGGTAATGCATGCCAAGGTCGTGGTAAGCCTGTACCTAGCTGTAGTATACCTGACGGTGGATCCGGACTTCCAATTGTGTAAGTGACACCATCCGAGTGAACCCGAGTGAGGATATATATCCTGTTTAGTTGTGACCGAGCGGGCACATTGGGCGTGAAAACGGTTGGGGTGGTTTCAGTAGGATTAGGATGTTACTTATACTGCTCTGTTATTAGGGGATCTCCTAGGTGTATGCGTAACGACGCATTAGATGATTGATATGCATTGATATCTGTCATGAGTTGCATGTATTGCATGATTATTATGATGATGAAGTGTATGGTGTTTGACTTCATGTTTGATAAATAGATGATTGATTGAGATGGAAGTTCCTTTGGGGCTTGATTTGGATGTATGTGTAGTATAGAATTTATTTTGTACTTGTATGATTATTTTTGAACTCTAGCTTACCTTTCTGTTTCCATGTGAATGGACTGCGATGATCATACCTTGTATGGGAGCAGGTCAGAGCTAGCTTGGAGTTAAGGTGACCACTGGGAGACGAGGGGTTTGGTTCTCGTGTTAGAGTTACCATTTTGGATAACGGTGTTGTGTGTGCTTGACTGACACTAGGAGGTTATGATTTTGGGATGACTGTACATATATGGTGCTATATTTTTTACATAGAACGTAATTATTATATTTATATTTATACACCTGTTTGTATGAGTTGTTCAATTTCTATATTCTCTTAGTTCACTAGTAGTAGTGCGATTCTACTAAGTGTAAAGACCATGACGGGTCGTTACAACATTCTTATGAAGTCATTTGAAAAAAATCTTAAAAATATTAAATTTTTACAAAATATTTTAAAATCTAAAAAAAAAATTAATGAAATTTAAATCCAATATATCCCTTAGATAAGAAGTGTTTAATTGAAATTTTATATATTTAAGACCAACAAATAATATGAGATTTTTGTTGAATAAAAAGTGTATACAATATCATGTATGCAATCATTATTGTCAAGAGAAAGGATTGTATTTAAAGTGTTTGAAAAATTAATATATATTCATGTACAAGATAGGTCTTAATTGTGGGATTATGTTAGTTCTCCTGGATGTTATGCCTATGGGGTTAGTACAGTAGTAACAGTACCTCTCTTGAAGGCGGATGAATTCAGGAGACGTTCCTGAGTGTGTAGTTTTTCCTTTATTTTAAAAAAGATTCTACGATATCCTTATATATTTGAAGAGTTTCTAAAATTGGTGTTTTTAAATATGTGAATATGTGATGTTTTAGAAGAATTTGATTATATTTATTTTTTATTTAAATATATATTTATAAAATTCTTAATATATATATATATATATATTATAAAATGTTTGAATTTATTACCGATATTTTTTTTAATATGTTATGAGTCATGATAAATTATAATTTTTCATATTTTATGTAAATTTTAGGAGACAAATTGAATAAATTTTTTAAAAATCTTCCTCTATTTCAATAAATAAAATCTTATTATAATTTTCTCAAAGTTATTTTAATTTCTACAAAATGGTTTAAAATATTTGGACTAGTATTTGATAAGAATAAAAAGTAAATTAATTAATTATATTATCTGTTTGTCACTAACATATCATTTAATGTAAATAAAAAAAATTGAAAGTAAAAAGAAAAAATTCACAATTTTATTCATTTTTATTAATTTTAAAAATTAGTTATACCAAAATATATATTTTTATTATTTTTCTCATATTAACAAAAGAGTATATTTATATCACATCTTATTTTTTATTCGTGGTATTGACATCTCATTATAATTCTTCCTTAACTTCTTACCTAACTAAACAGGAGAAAAAATATTTTTTCTTCTCTATAAAAAAAAAATCACTTCTTACTTGTTTGATTTTCTTTCTTGTTATTTTGTTTCACTTTATTTTTTGTTTTTATGCTTTTTTCTTAAACTAAATATATTTTTTAAAAGTTACTATTATAAAAAAAATTAACAAATCTACCAAGCCATTTGCTCTATATTTATATTTATAATGTAATTTTAATAAGAAAAATCTGTGATTGGTTTACATGGTGCGGCAAATATATTCCAAAGAGAGTATTATTGCAATAGCGCTAAGTACATATGTGTCGACCCACGTGCTCCAATTCTCCAACTGCTATCATCAGAGGAAACCCAGAAAATATAAAGAAAATTCTGTCACCTCCAAATTTTTTAAAGTTTTTTATCCCCACGTGTTTAAATTCCCCTCTCTCCTCTCTCTCATCCCATTCTCCTTCTATTTTACGCCCTTCCTCTGTTCTTCGCTCTCTCCACTCTGTTTCCACTCAGAAACAAAAAAAGAAATAAAAAGTAAAAAAAAAATCAGCATGAGAATCCGCAACTCCTCCTTCTCCTCCGCGATCTTAATCCTATTAATAGCTCTCGTGGACTCGGCGGTTTCCCTCGCCGACGAGATACCTTCCGCTGCCTACGACCGCGTCCTGTTCCCGGACCGCCGGTGCCAGAAGACGGCGTCGGAGAACAAGACGCGGCGGGGAGCCTCGCCTCCGGCGGCGGAGTGCGAGGTGTGGAGTCCGGCGTGCTCGGAGGCGGTGCTGAGCGTGGCGCGGCTGGCGGAGACGGCGGAGTGGCTGCGAGGAGTTCGGCGGAAGATCCACGCGAATCCGGAGCTGGCGTTTGAGGAAATCGAGACGAGTGGTTTGATAAGAGAGGAGTTGGATCTGATGGAAGTTAGTTATCGGTACCCTCTCGCTAAGACCGGTATTCGAGCCTCGATCGGCACAGGTGGTCCGCCTTTTGTTGCGATCAGAGCTGACATGGACGCACTTCCCATCCAGGTTAGGTTTCTCCCCCTCTTTCCCATTCTTCCATTAATTTTTCATTATGCCTTATTCATAACCTAAAACCTAAAATAAAACAACTATAAACTAATATAATAAAATATTATTTTTTAAAAGCCACAATTATTGTACCTCCTACATAGGACTTCTTATACTTCCCTCCCTCCTTGCAATTACTTGTTCACACAAAATGTTAATCCTTGACCTATTTTTCTTAGCTTTTCACATTTTTAACACATTTTTTTTTATTTGTTCAAAATTCACTGTAATTTCAAAATGTTATATGGAAATCTAATGGAGAGTTTGTTGTTATTTTCGAAGAATTATAATTATTCTTTTATTAAATAAATACGATATTTGTTACAGAATTTTTGATTTGTCTTTGTCTGTCGAACATTAATGATAAGATTTTATATATACCTGATCTGTTTCAGGTGTTTTGTTCTATTTGTCTGATGTGAATAATATATTTTTTTTATTTTGTCAAATCTTTTGTGTCTGACACAAATTATTATAAAAATGTACTTAGATTGTATATTTATTTTTTTTGAAAAAAGAAGGGAAACCTTTTGTTTTCTCGTTTTCTCTTCATATGTTGGATAAAGGTTTGTATTCTTGATGTTCTTTTGTTAGTGAGGATTATTGTGTGTTTTATGGTAATTTATTGAAATATTTTGTTTTTATTATGCTTCATCATGGCTTTTGAAGAAGAAAAAGCTTCATAGCTTTTTCCCAATTACTTTTTTACTAGTTAGATTGATTTACTTTAGGAATGGGGAAAAAGCTCTTAGCTGTAGTAACTAGTTTCTTTAACGGTCAATACCATATACCAAACTGTGATTGAAATAATTAACAGCAATTTATTTATCATAAAATAAAATTCCATCTCACCACGACTTGGGAATCGTTGTAGGAAGCTGTGGAATGGGAGTACAAATCTAAAGTTGCCGGCAAAATGCATGCTTGTGGGCACGACGCACATGTGGCTATGCTTATCGGCGCTGCCAAGATATTGAAAACACGAGAGCATTTATTAAAGGTTTGTTCTTTCCTCATCTTTTACTATCATACCATTTCTTAGAATTAATTTTTTACACTTCCTGTATCATAGTACATTCTCATTTCTTAATCAAACACAACGATAACGAAACATAATTAAAACCAAGTTCAACTTATATTTACATTCAAGGATTTTTATTTATACGTTAATGTTTTTGTTCAACTTTTAGAGCAAGAAATTGTTTTTACACATTAACTTAATTACGAGATCGTTGAATCTTTAAAATTTAACTGTAGTAACTTTCGTTCTTTATATTTCATTTTCTAATTAAAAGATTCATCTTTGCTCTGTTTTTTTTTTTTTTTTTTT